CTGTCCAATGATACGTGGCAACTTCCTCTACAACTTCTTCAAACTTCCAACTTAGCTCACTTTAGCACTTTAGCTTTAGTTTTCACCTTCAAACTATTAATTTTTAGCTTTGACTTTCGCTATGTGACCGTAGTCTATAATGATCACCAGGCTTATGACTGTGCCTCTTGGTGGACGATGACTGCACACAGCGTGCTCTGGTGGTGGCTAGGGGCATTGTTCTACAGTTTATACACTCAAAGATAAATTAAATCATAAAAGCTTAAAAAGTATGCAGTTTCCCGCTTCACCTTATTGAGTCCGAGCCATGATTACTTCGGCAATAGTCATGCATGATAAAAATCGAAATAATCTTTCCAGTATTAAATTTTATTCTTTTTGAATACTGATGTATAATCAAAAAAGATTAAAATTCAATCAAAAATTATTAAAATAGAATCTAAAATGATTAAAATTTATTCAAAAAAAGATAATCTACAATCTAATCAACCATGATTAAACTGGGATTAATATCAGATGCTTATTTTTTAATCATTCGATATGATTAAACTGAGTTTAATGTCAAATTGATTAAATTTCAAGCAAAATGGGAATAGTTCAATTTATCAGTGTAGGGAAGTGTTTCCTACTGGCTGCGTTCGTGGGGATTCTGGAACGTTTTACCTTTTACGAACATTTAAACTTTTTCTTGGAATTTAATAACTAAATAAACGAAAACTACACGCGATTAATCTCACCAATCTTGGACGCAACACTTACACTTGTTACAAGTTGACGTGTGAGAACCGGAAATCAATGTCTGAGTCCGTTTTGAAATTCAAGATGGCGGCTTCCGGTTGGAGAAAACCCTGAAAATTCTGTCAACAATATGGGTAGTTTTGGAATCGGGATGACGTGTGTAGAGTCCTGAAATCCATATCTGACACCTTTTTTAAATCCAAATGGCGGTTGCCGGGTAGAGAAAAATATAAAAAATACTGTCGAGAAAAATATAAAAAATACTGGTGGGTTCCGGTAGAAGAAAACTTGGAAACACTGTCAAATACACCACTATATGAGTATTTTTGGAATCGAGGTGACATGTAGAGCCCGGAAAGCAATGTCTGGTGCCTTTTTGAAATCCAATATGGTGGCTTCCGAATACAGAAAAATAGGAAAATACGGATGGATTTCCCGTCCTTACACGTCACTCCGATACCAAAAATACCCTTATTTGCCCCTCAATTGGACAGAATTCCCAAGTTTTTCTCGAACAGAAAGCTACTACATTGAATTCAAAATGTCTTCACACATCACCACAATCGCAAAAATATAAAAAAAAATATATATATATATTTGATAGTATTTTTCAATTTTTCTGCAACTGGAAACCACCATCTTCAACTTTCAAAAAAGGCATGAGACATCGATTTCCTGTCCCAACACGTCACCTTGATTCCAAAAATACCCATATTGTGGATAATTTGACAGTATTTTCCAGTTTTTCTCCAACTGGAAGCTGCCATATTAAATTCAAAATTGTGTCAGTCATGGGTTTCAAGTCTCTACACGTTATCATGATTCCAAAAATAGCCATATTGAGAGGAATATGACAACATTTCCAAGTAATTCTCTAACCGGCAGCCGCCATTTGAATTTTAAAATGGCCTCAGACATCCAGACATCGATTTCCGTTCCTTACACATCACCCAGACTCTAAACATACCAATATTGTGAGGTATTTGACAGAATTTCCAAGTTTTCTCTAGCCGGAAGCCGCCATCTTGAACTTCAAAACGGCCTCCTTAATCGATTTCCGGTCCCTACACGTCATCAAGACTAAAAAAATACCCATATTGTGGATACTTTGACAGTATTTCCCAGTTTTTCTCCAACCGGAAGCTGGCATATTGAACTCAAAATGGTGTCAAACATGGGTTTCAAGTCTCTACACGTTATCATAATTCCAAAAATACCCATATTGAGAGGAATACATATGACAAAATTTCCTAGTTTTTCTCAAACCGGCAGCCGCCATTTGAATTTTAAAATGGCCTCAGACATCCAGACATCGATGTCCGGTCCTTACACATCACCCAGACTCTAAACATACCAATATTGTGAGGTATTTGACAGAATTTCCAAGTTTTCTCTAGCCGGAAGCCGCCATCTTGAATGTCAGAAAGACATCAGACATGGTTTTCCGGTCCCTACACGTCATCAAGACTCCAAAAATACCCATATTGTGAGTAATTTGGCAGTATTTCCAAGCTTTTCTCTAACCGGAAGCTGGCATATTGAACTCAAAATGGTGTCAAACATGGGTTTTCAATCCTTACACTTCACCAAGATTCCGAAAATACCCATATTGAGAGGAATTTGACATAATATTTAAGTTTTTCTCCAACCGGAAGCCACCATATTGAATTTAAAGTCAGAAGTTCTCAGAATTCCTCATAAGAAAATCTCAGAATTTTTCATCGGAAGTTCTCTGGACTTCTCTTCGGGAATTCTCTGGACTTCTTCTGGGGAAATTTTCGTCGGAAGTTCTCTGAACTTCACATCTGAAGTTCTGTGAACTTTTCTTCGAAAGTTCAATGAACATCTCCTCAGAAATTCGCTGAGCTTGTCATCGGAAAATCTTTAAACTTCTTGGCGGAAATTAGGAAATTCAAGGAAGTTCTCTGAACCTCTCGTCGAAAGTTCTCTGATTGACTTAAGGGTGAGGACATGTTAGTCAAAAAAAAAATGCACCAGACAAAAGTGTTCACCAAAAATTTATTTTAAGTCGTATTTTCTTGAAACTTTCAGGGAATGAACTAATGCATATGGATTATGTTTCGGCATAATTACTTTATTCAATTTCCTGTCCATCTCTGAAAGCCCGCACCTTTCCCTTAAGACCCCTCATTACATTTTGTGCAATGGTGAAGCCGACCTTTTTGGTCACTTTCATCCATTCTTTCTTCAACTCCAGCTCGTTCTTAAAAACCTTGGACGATTTTCTAACTTTGGCCTTCATTATGGCCCAAAATCTTTTCACCGGACGAATCTCTGGTGAATTTGGGGGGTTGGCGGTTTTTGGTATAAAAACAACGTTATTGTCTCTGTACCAATCCAACGTCGATCGCGCGTATTGGCATGATGCCAGGTCCGGCCAAAATAATGTCTCGCCTCCGGGGACCGCAGGAAGGGCAACAGACGCTTCTGGAGGCACTCGGTGCGGTAAATTTCGCTGTTGATGGTACCCATTGTGATGTACGGATTACTCAGTTTACCGCATTGGCATATGGCCTGGCAGAGCAAGTATTTTTTGGCGAATATGTCCGCTTTCTTCTTCCTTATGTCTTCCGGAACATCAAACTGTGATTTGGCAACGTAGAACTCCAGCCCCGGTATCTGCTTTGCGTCTGCCTTGATGTAGGTTTTGTCATCCATAACCACACACATCGGTTTCGTTAACCACTCTCGATACAGCTTCCTTGCGCGGGATTTGGCCGCCGTGTTTTGTTGATCACGCCGGTTCGGTGCCTTCCGGACCTTGAATACACGAAGCCCAGCTCGTTTCATGGTTTGATGAACGAACCAGGCGGAACACTTTGCCTTCAGAGCCGCGTCGCGAATCGAAAGGTTCGGATTACGCTTGAAATAATCCAACGCCTTCCGGGCCTTCACAGGGTCAGCTGTCTTCGATTTTCTTCCACTTCCAGCCCGCCGCTCGGTTTTCTGGGACTCCTTAAGCGATTTTACCACCCGAGACACAGTTGTATGGGTGATTTCCAGTTGTCTTCCGATCCATCTCATGGTCGCAGTCGGATTTTCCATGACGGCGCGCAAAATTCTCCGGCGATTTTCTTCTTGTTTCGATGACATCTCAATAAACACTGAACCGATTGTAATGAAATTTTGCACATGTAAACAATTCACTCCAAACTAGTTATACCCAGATTTTCATCAATTTTTACCCACGGAAAAAAAAAGTTACACACGGATAAAAATGGTGCATTTTTTTCGAGTACAAGCCTTATTAAAGCTTTTGAAAATCTGGATTAAATCGCGTATTATCCTCGATGGAGCTTACCGCCATAAATGACGATCATTGTTTGTCATAGGCTATCGTTAACATTCGAGAGAATGATCAGGACCTGATCTAAAATCGGTTGGGCTTGGTGGAGCAAAATAGTTATTTTGAACCACCCTAATGTTCATATACTGAGCCCAAGTTTACCTCTTCATTAATGCATGATTTCCGACCATTGGGTCGCAAAACTTCAAACAGAATTAATTTAGCAAAACCACCAGTCATTCAAACTTGCTCATTCAAGTGCATCATGATTTTGATTAATGGAATGTTATTATTTATTCAATTCACTAAAACTCTTCCACTAAAGCAACTTTTAAAAACCGATCAACCCCAAGGACAGCGTCTGCATTTTACAAACCCTGCCGGATATTTTGCAGCATAACCGCCATGGCTGACTCTGACAATCGATATTTCGCTCTCGTGACTTGGTTCCTTTGCGAACACGAATGTGTCACACGTTTTCTACCCTCAATTTGCTGGTACAATGCCTTCACGCTCACCGAAAACCGAGCCTTTCGGCTGGTTCTGCGTTCAAGGTAGAATTCTCCCGGCGAAACATCTCATAAATAACAATAACTTATTAAATGTTCATGATTAATTCAACCATTACACACATATGCTAGTATTCAGTTTTCAGTTTTCAGTTTCCAAGAAGATCCACCATTCGACGACACTCTTTCCACTTGCTGGGCGTGATAGTTTGTAGCAACCCTTGAAATATCTACACATATCCAAACGCATCAAATATGCTAGGCTACTGAGATTAGAAACAAAGAGTGACACCCTTCTGTCAAATCCTTAAACAATTTTCCGAAGAATGAAGTGTGCTGTCCCCACCTCTCCCATACTCTCTACCTGTCATCCGTGTTTTCCTTCTGCATAGTAAACATCTTATTATCTTATATAAAAACCGAAACATATTTCGCTATTTTTCCAGAAATATCATCTTGTTGGGTCACAACGCGAGGTGAGTCCTATTGATTGTTGTCTATATTTATACAAACAATAAAACTAGCTTTAACTTTCATTAGATAAATATTTTTAAGCTTTAGAGTAGATTTGTCTGTCATAAAACAACTTTTCAGAGGGTAGCGAGAGCTTTTTCAAACAGGTGCTTGCCGCAATAAAGATTAAAAGCTCTCGCTCTCACTCACTCTGCTCCTTCCATCCATAAAACTGTCTCGCAAACAGATGCTTTTGTTTTTTTTTCTCTGTCATAATCTAGAGTACACAAGACGCTTTAAATTTAATAACATCCAATGTCGCCTCGCGGTATCTCTGTCAGACACAAGCACGCGGATCATGAATTTCTCATTTATCATCATTAAGCATGTGCGACCATGCTCCCGCCCGCTCTCGCCTTCTCATCTGACAGTAGATGGGCGCAGAGCCCCCGTGGTTGGCTTATGATCGCTGAAGAAAAAAAATCTCTCAATTTCACCTCAGTCTATCAACAAAAACCATCACTACAGACGAAAGCAAATTTCTAGGTTAGAATCAAAGTCAAGGTTCCCGAGGTAATGGTTAACCTTGGAGTGAAAAAAAACTGTCATTATTCGAACAAATTACTCACCCAGCTTATGGGCACTTACACATTGTACCAGATACTTAAATTTGAACAACTAAGTCGTTGAAACAATCCGAAAGAAAAAAAAAGCAACTCACCGCAGCGCCTTTGACACTTTCGTTGCACTGTGTGAACTTGGCATTTTTCGCGGCCTGTTGCGTTCTTGTGCGAGCACGTCGAACATTCTTCGAATCGTTGAGACCCTCACTCGCCCCCATGACTCTTGTGCGTGACTGCGTGAAATAACCTATATCTTCGGTTCGCTGGTGAGCACCCCTTCATCATCATAATCATCATCATTGGGGTGATCATGGAATTGGTACCTAAATTAATTAGTGGATTCATGAAACGATGAGAGATGATACAGACCGTGCCAAACTGTTCTCGGTAGCTCATGACTGATAGATACGCGGGAATTTATAGCATGTGTCAGCTCGCACAGCGGAAGCAACTTTCCGGATACTTTGGCCGGTTTGGATGCTTGAAAAGGCAATTTGATGCTAATTTGAAAGTAGCGTTTTGAGCTAAATAAAAGAATGAATATTTACACGACTTGAAGGGCCTTTCTTTGGTTATAAAGAATTCCGTTTCGATAGCTAGGACGAATTGGGTAAATGACGACTTTGTCATTATCTTTCTTATTATCTTCGGGTTGCAAATGCTTATGACGTGACATCGTTTGGCCTAAATTAAGCGTTCAATTTACTCCCTAAAGATAATAGGCAAAGGAATTGACAAAGCTGCTGAATATTTAAGTGACGATTGTGTACCGCAAAAAATACTTAGATGCCGAAAACGATTCGACACAAACCCGTTGGTATTACTATGGGAAAACTGATATTTTTGTTCGTCCATCGATTTGCCATAATGTTTTACGCAAGGGAAAAGTCAGCTGTACTGAAAGCAAATAATAATTATTACTCAAAATTGATCAAAGCAGTCTAGCTTTTTGTCAACAAATACAAACCTCCAATGAAAAATCGAAAAAAATTGTACCAGATTACTTGAAGGTGAGGGGCACGCAGAATCTATACTTGGATGCGTGTTACTCAAATCGTTAGCAGGTTCATGGTTGTAATTATGGACTTTAAATTGTACTTATACGTAATTAACGTACTCAAACTAAGTACAGAAGCATTTAACTGTACTTTCAGCATAGAGGTAACTCTAAGACCGGAAGGTCCCGAAGAAACGTGCTCAACTTTTTGGCTCAGCTCTGGTACTATCTTCGGTCCCAAGCTAATCGATGCACCCCTCGAAACATAGGAAAATCCACGAACCCCCTAGGGGAAGTACAACTTGTTCTGAAGTAATATTTGGTGTAAAAATTGCTCAAATAGGTAGAATATAGTTTTTAGTATAAATATTAATGCTATTAACTGTCAAGCGAAAAGCTAAATAGTAAAAAATAAAATAACAGTGTAGCTTTGACGCATACACTCAATGACGTTTCACCATTGTTGTTTATGTTTAACTGCAGCTTTCTGTTTTATCATTTTTGCCTAGATGTTCGTTTTCGATAGCTTTGATCGTTTTTGGCTTCGGCTTTTGATGATAAAAACGGCACTGAACGTTCCCCCCGCAGAAAATTTCTCCAAACTGCAGGCTCATGGCGAATCGAGCGCAATACGACCACGGAACCATCACTCTGGGACTCCGTTTACAGGGGCGGCGCAAGCAGTCAATTCTCGTTCCATCGGAGGACAGCACATTGGTTTGCAGACGATGAAGAATTCGTGGAAATTAATTACTATTTCATGGAAACGGAAGCACGGCCGGTTATGTACACTGAGTTTCAATTAGATTGGCAGAACATAGTTGCATTGCTTTTCAGTGAAGACCGATGACTGTTTCATTGATAGACGTTTTTTTTAGAAAAATTAATCCTCAGTAGACGTGTTTTTGACGTAGGACTACGTCTTTCATTTCTATTCTTTGTAAAAACCGAAAATGTAATATGAAACAAAATTATGAAAGATTTTGAACATTAATAACTCAGCTGCTCCTGGACCAATTTCAATAATTTTATCACCAATCGATCAGAAATATTTCTACTCATATATAGTAATGCTTCCAACTGATGAATTGCAACGAGAAGTTATTGAAAAAGTGGTAATGTCAAGCATTGTCCAATGTACAAATAAAAAGTGATAATTTTATCACTGTTAAACGTTCTTCCCAAACCCAGTCGTCATAATCGAGTACCACTTGGTTGCACATCATTCTGCCTTAACCTGAAAAGATATAAAACAGCACTGCTGTATGGCATCAGCCCCTCGATTCTTTGCTCAACTGTTGAGCTGTTCAATCCGTATTTTCGCTTGAGTTCTCGTTTCGATTTTATTTCGTTTTGAGCTGTCGTGTTGCGCCGTGGAAGTGTCACCTCCATCTCGCGTTCTGGGCAGTTTACTTGAACTTGCAAACACGAAACAAATGATGCGTAAACGTGCCAATGAGACAGCAGCGGGCCCTTCAAAGAAGGTGCTAATCAAGCCCAGCGCGTCGTAGGATGACGCCGGAAAACGGGTACTGCAAGCCAACTAGTATGCAGTACTCCCGGAAGAAAATGGCGATGGTGACGCCATTCCCATTGCTAAAAGAGAGAGGATTCCCCCTATTTTCACGCCGGTGAAGGATGTTGCCAAGCTGGGTGCCGAACTCGCAAAACACAAGCTGCTGCCTCGCTTCAAGCTTTGCAGCATCGGTACCAAAATCATGTGCTCCAGCCTGGAGGAGTACAAACAAATAGGATGTTTCCTGAAGGACAACAACGTGGACTTCTTCACGCATGATCTGCCATCGAGCAAGCCACTGAAGGTGGTTTTGTGTGGATTACCATCGTTCGAGGCGACTGCCGTTAGATCAGAGCTGGAGTGGCTTGGGCTAAAACCTGAGGTCGATGAACCGGCGTTTCAACAACAATACCAGCTTCAGTGACCAGTTGTTTCTGGTGCACTTCACGAAGGGATCCACCAGTCTTGCGGCTCTGAGATCCAAAATCCGGGACCTGTTTCAGGTCATCATCAGTTGCGGACATTGCAAACCCCAACATCGTGATGTTCCGCAGTGTATGAACTGCCTCTCCTATGGCCATGGCACCAAAAACTGCCATATGAAGACAAACTGCGGCAAGTGTGCTGGAACCCACTCAACTGCGTCCTGTGAGCAAGTTGACGACATCGAGCCAACGTGTGTCAACTGCGGTGGAAACCACCAAGCCTCCCAAGCGAGTGGAGTTCATGAATATCCGTCGGAAGGCTATAATCAACAACCAGGTCGGTCGTCTAGCCCCGCTTCCGTTCACCAACCAACAAGCCAATCCTGCGAGTATTCATATGTTTCCCAACAGTCGGACAGTTCAGCATCGTCTCGCTGCTGCTGCGGCCCAGCCAAATCCAGGTCCATTCACCGCCCCTGCTTTATCATACGCTGGTGCTGTCTCAGGTGAACCTGTCAACGATTCTCCGTTCACCTCGGAGGAACTTGTGACGCTCGTGGACGAGGTCATGCAAGACTCGATCTGAACAGCTACACGCTGCCCTGTCCCTTGTCACTAAGTATGGACCGTGAAGCCATCAAGATCGTGAATTGGAATACTTGCTCCTTGAAGAGCAAAACATCGAGTTTGTTGACTTTCTCAACGAACGGCACATCGACATAGCCGTCATCACCGAAACTCACTTGAAGCCCGAACTGAACGTCTTCCTTCCCGACTTTCGGCTCGTAAGGCTTGACCGCATCAGCTCCAGGGGAGGGGGAGTGGCCATCGCTACGAGACGGAACATGAGCTGCCGGCTACTACCAAGCTTCCAGCTGAAAATTATCGAAGCCGTCGGAGTTGAGGTGAGCACATCACTTGGTCCAATCACCATCATCGCGGTCTACTGCCCCAAGCAAACCAACATTAGGGACGGCTCGGCCGCAGACCTTCAAAAATACATTATCAAGCTAACACGACGGCGGCAAAATTTCGTCATCGCTGGTGACCTGAACGCCAAGCATCAAGCCTGGGGCAATAGTCGGCGACACCAGAACGGCACAATCTTGTACAACGATCTGTAGGAAGCCCACTACAACATCTTTTGTCCGGACACTCCCACCCGGTTGAGTCAATCCGGAGCTCATGCCACCATCAACATCTTCATCAGCAACATTGGCGATAACATCTCTCAACCTATCGCCTATCAGGAACTGAGCTCGGACCAATATCCGGTGTTGGCCGAAGTAGGTTCCTCGGCCAATAGGTTTCAAGTTTCCCAGCGAAATTACCATCGTGTCAACTGGCAGCAGTATCAGCGCTGTGTGGGCACAGCAATCGATTACGACGTCCTACCGGAGTCGTTCGAAGAAGTCGATCAGTGTCTGCCAGGGAGCAACACGTACCAGCATCCAGACAGGTG